GCGCAGCGTCACCTCGCTCGCGCCGGCAGGCAGAACGAACACCGACCGCACCGTCACGCCCTCGCGGACAAACGCACTCGACGCAGTTCCCACAGCAGGCGGCAGCGCAGGAGCTCCCACAGGCACGCACGCCTCGCCGTACCCGCCACTGCCGCACAGGCAAACGCACACACCGTTCCTCATGCTCGCCGCCGCCGTCCCGGGCGCGTAGCAGTGCGTGTCCCTGTCGCACGCGTCGCACCCAACAACGTCGATGCTCCCAGCGTCGCCAAAACCAGCCGCTGCGTACTCCTCCGCCGTCGACAGGACACGGCCACCAGCGTCGTTGCACGCAACCCTCAAATGCGCCCCAGCCGCAAGCGACAGGCTCAGCGACAGCATCCGCGGCAGCAGCGCTCGGTTGCGCACAAAGCTCAGCGTGCTCCCAGCAGCGGTCACAGCGCCAGCGGCGTAAAGCATCTCCCTCGAGACGCCGTCGTGCACGTTGCCCTTCGCCAGCAGCATCGACCCGCCATCCAGGCTCACCGTCGAATAAAACGCCACCGCGTATTCCTCCGTCGACGAAAAGTCGCTCCGCACAGGCGCTACAGCGGAGCCCGACACGCTCACAGCCCCACGCACAGACACCGCGTGCTCGCACAGCAGGAAGTCGCTGTCAACAAACGCCACCACGGAGCCGCCGCTGGCAGCAACACCGCCCTCCACCGACACGCACAGCCCCAGCGCCGTCTGCACCGACAGCCCGTCCACGTACAGCGCACCGCGCGACGACAGCGCCACGCCGCCAACAAACAACACGCCAACAGCGTCGCGGAACACAGCCGCCACCTGCGTGCGCGCAATGGTCAGCACGCTCCCAGTCAGATTCACGTTCTGCACCACAAGGCACGCGGACGCGTCGCCAAGGCCGTGGTCTCCGCGGTACGCAACACGCTTCTCTGCAATCAGCACCGAGTCCACCACAGTGACGCGCGAGCCCGGCGGAAATCGGTTCGCTACCACCACGCCGCCGCCGGAGCGCGACTCAAGCCCGCTGATCAACACATCGACGCGCTCGCCAGCAGACAGGTCGGACCGCCACCCAACAACGTACAGGCTCGCTCCGCGCACAAACAGGCAGTTCGCCAGCGTCACGTTGCGCACGCTCCCTGACATCGACCCCACGTCCACCACGACG